CGGAGAGGAACCTCCTGAAGTTCAACAAAGGCAAGTGCAGGGTCCTGCACCTAGGCAGGAATAATCCCATGCACCAGTACAGGGTGGGGGTTGACCTGCTGGAAAGTAGCTCTGCGGAGAAGGACCTGGGAGTGCTGGTGGACAACAAGTTAAGCCTGAGGCAGCCATGTGCCCTTGTGGCCAAGAAGGCCAATGGGATCCTGGGGGGCATGAGGCCGAGTGTTGCCAGCAGGTGGAGGGAGGTGATCCTGCCCTTCTGTCAGCCCTGGGGAGGCCTCATTTGGAGTACTGTGTCCAGTTCTGGGCTCCCCAGGACAAGAGAGACATGGCGCTCCTGGAGAGAGTCCAGCGAAGGGCTACCAAGATGATGAGGGGACTGGAGCATCTCTCCTGTGAAGAAAGGCTGAGAGGTCTGGGCCTGTTCAGCCTGGAGAAGAGAAGTCTGAGAGGTGATCTCATCAATGTGTACAAGTATCTGAAGGGAGGGTGTCGAGAGGATGGGACCAGACTCTTCTCCGTGGTGCCCAGCGGCAGGACAAGAGGCAACGGGCATAAACTGAAACACAGGCAGTTCCGTCTGAATATGAGGAAAAACTTCTTTGCTATGAGGGTGCCAGAGCACTGGCACAGGTTGCCCAGAGAGGTGGTGGAGTCTCCTTCCCTGGAGATATTCAAAACCCACCTGGATGTGATGCCGGGCAATGTGCTCTAGAGGCCCCTGCTTGAGCAGGGAGGTTGGATCTCCAGAGGTCCCTTCCAACCTAAACCATTCTGTGATTCTGTGATTCTGTGATTAATTAATGTATTAGTTTGCCACCAGAATCATAGAACCGTTCCTCACACTTCCTAATAGCCAGATCTGAAAAAAAAAAGTACTGAAGTGCTGAACATCACAGCATACACTTACAAATTCAGCACTTGCCTGTCAGAGTGGATTCATGGTGCTGATACAAGTTCATTGTGAGTGGAGGAGAATTAGGCACCCATATGAAGATGACAATCTTCTAGCGTACTTGCAACTCTCTTCATGGATTTTAGTGCCTGTAATAGGGCTGCAACACCATTTGTGAAACTGGGCTTAGTGCCTAGACAACAGTTTGAAAATTGCAGTGGTTAACTCTGACCACTGGTTTATCAGCATAGAAAGACAGTCATTCTTCCCTTTCCCCTGTGCTCAGTAGTTTGCATTTCTGGCTGCCCACTGGCTAACTTCCAAAGAGTGGGAGGTGTTGCCACTAAGACTGCCCAAAAGTCAGGTAAATTATCTATGAGTTAAAACTAGGATACCTAACAGTTAGGTGTTCTGCTTTCTGCGCAGAGACTGATGCTTGTCCCTTAGCATTTGGAAAGCACTTAGCAGGTATCTATGTAACTGAGGACATGATTGTTTATACTGTGGCTGATTTTCCCTATTTTTCCTTGGCAGTATTCCCAGTGCTGTTAGGAAGATTCACATTTCTGTTCCCTCTGCCTGCATTTCTTTCCTTTTCTTCCTAATGGCATTGCCTGACAGCATCCTTCCAAAGTCAGGCTGCTGCCCTCCTTCGAGGTGGAGGACTCTGAAGGACTCTTTGAGATTACCTCTTTGTGGAGCGCACGGATTAGCTGAGGTTCCCAGTGACATCAGTTTTAGTAACTTCTCTCTCCTGATTTTCCTTAGAGCTCTGCAGTATCTCCCCTCCCTGCTCACCCTCCTATCTGACACGGAGCACAGGTGACCCTCTGGGTGACAGGATGATGCAGCCAGCTGCACCCGCTGACCTTCAGCT